TTTACGTTCGAAAACCAGTGACTAGGCCCTGCACGCAGCCGCTCCCTAACCAGGGAAGTCCGCCAACTTACCATGGAACTTTGAATGGAGACCTGGGTAGATCGATAGAGTCTATAAGGTTATTTACAAATATAGATAGCAAAACTGCAACCTGCATTTCACAAGCAACTTATGAGCAGGTAAAGTTTGTAATGGTGCAGTAGGGTGGAGGCTTGGTGGTGAGCTGTGAAGCATAAGCGAGGATCGAGTCGTCGAACGTCGAACCTTACCACTGAACCACCACGACTCGATTCGACGTATGCGATTCCTCGCTTATGCTTCACAGCTCACCACCAAGCCTCCACCCTACTGCACCATTACAAACTTTACCTGCTCATAAGTTGCTTGTGAAATGCAGGTTGCAGTTTTGCTATCTATATTTGTAAATAACCTTATAGACTATCGATCTACCCAGGTCTCCATTCAAAGTTTGAAAGTTGGCGGACTTGCCTGGATAGCAAGACAACCGTGCATTGAACAAGCCCAGAGAGAGAGAGTCATATTTGGAGGAGGTGTATTTCGTTTAAGGTGGCAAAGCAATTGCATGACTCCTCGCATTTATTTATTTATTTGAATACACCCGAGGCTGTGCCACAGACACAGGGAAACTTTTAAAATACGCAAATGCCACAGTTAAGACCTAAAGACACCCCCGCGCTCGAGTAGTACATGGTCGTCCTTCCTTGTGCAAGTAGTTCAGCCCCCAAGCTAGAGACTGTCCCACTCTCGCGACTCCACAGTGAGCGAGGAGCGAGCTACAGCCGCTCAAAGTTCTAGTTCTAACGCCCGCCCAGTTGGACCGCCCACTTGCTAGATGCCCTCTGACGGAGAGCCGCTCAGTTGTTCTTTGTTGGGGCGGCGGGCATTAATCGGAATTGCATGCCCTTTTTGCTGACCGCGCTCGTGCCCATGAATGGTTCTGCTCTCCTTTATTACATTTTATTTATTAGGAGCACTTGTGTTGCAAAAGCTCGACGCACCACACTACACTAAAGATGCACGCTACCGTAACCCTAAATTCAGACGCCGAGTTTTTGAAAGTTTCTTTTCCTTTTCAAGAGTTTTTCTTCCGTGTTTTTGTTGTTTTTCGTATTCTTTTCATTGCATTGGATGATACCCACTACTGGGAGATGTGATAAAGGAATTTGTGAGCCAGGGGTTGCACAGAGACCGCAGGAAGGTGTGACTGCCAGGGAGCGATTTTGTTTATGGTGTTCTTGAGGACTCTTCTTGCTTTTTTCTTTGGGGAATTACTTATCAGCTACTGTTTCATAATTGAAAAGCAACTATCCATGACACTTTTATCGCGGGAGCTGTCTTTAAGAACAACACAAAATCAAAGAAAACACAAACATAGGAAACGAAACACTGGGAACAAGAGCGAAGTAATAGGCTGTGAGTCGAAGTTCTAAAGGAAATAAGAACCGGGACCATCATTGTGACAGGATGATAAGGTCATTTTCCCCTTCAGGTAGATGAAAGGGTCCACCCGCGAAATCTTGGTCATTGGTCCAGCGCAGAGAGGTGACAAGAGTATTCAGCCTCAACTATTATAAATACCTAATCTCAGTTTATCCGTTTTGTTACCAGCCGTTCGTTTCAGGTTATCTGACGGTTCTTGGGTGATCACCAAGTTTGAAACAGTCCCACAAATGTCGTCATATCTTCTTGCTATCATTGTCTCCGAATTCAAATTCATCGAAAGGTATAGTAGAGGAGGAGTCAGAGTACGTTCTTTCTGTTTCAGAGACAAGCGGCGATTCTTTTGCCAGAGACACGGGAGTAGTTAGCCAGCTGTTTCGCACTTCTCTGTCGTGCCCCGCCTTCTCTACATCTTACAAGGAGGGGTGTGCCGATGAGGAAAGTGCAGATGATTTGCTGTCCCCGCCCATACCACCACCATGGACCTGTCTCCACATTTTTCTCTAGGTACGTATATGGTCCCGTCCGGAAGCTGTGAATATGACTACGTACGCACTGGACGCTAGCACAGAGTTTTTGGATTTCTTTGAAAATCACTTAGGTATCAAGTATACACTACCAAAGCTAGGTAAGCGGACTTCATACGGAGATTTGATGGGGAAATGATCATCAGTGGAGGATTGCGCTTTACCAGATTCGTTTGCTTTGCCTGACTTCGGGTATCTGTGCGATGGAAAATTGGGGACTGTTGACGTATATAGGTACGGTAGAACCTCCTTTCTGGAACTATGAAGTTGATGAGGGTCCTTTTTTCTAGAGAAAGACTGTTGCTGTATGATGAAAATCTGTATTCTCCCATCGCGAAACACCGAGTTCTATCAGTCGTGGCGCATGAAATAGCTCATCAGGTAGTTTCCAGATGGGCGTTCGCGACTGAAATAGGGGAAGCGGGGGGGGCATTCGAACTTTTGCCTGCTTCCGTCGGGTTGAGCATCGAACTGGTAGACCTGTGAAATCTTGTGGCCTCGAAATGTTACGTGGCAAGGATTTCAAAAGTTACTTGTCAGTTCTCAGAATATAGAACCTGTCAAGTTTGCTAAACCAGATAAGAACCAAACAGATACCCTGTGCTTTGGAGGACTCGGCGAGCTTGCTCCACTGCACAAGAGTTCACAGGTTTCACCAGAACGAGGCTTGTCAACCGGGAAACCAGGTGAAGCCAGCAAAGTGGAAAAAGGCGCCGCCCCCCCTCTCCCAACTATGGCCGAGCTGCGCCTGAAAGTTATTCTAATCATAGGGTGCGATGCGGCCTGAACAATGATTTAAAGACACATGGTACGATCACACATAGTTTGTGTGTGATGTGCTAACACCCCCCTCCCCAGCTGTCGAAGCGTAGCGGTTTCCCCGTCCAAAGCAGGAATGGAGATACAGGACCGTGAAACACGCTAATTCCTCCATGCTCCGCCTTATACCTTTTTGGCGCAGATTCCCGTTCATGCTAACATCCGTCGTAAGCGCGCGTGTCGCGTGCGGCTCCTTGGCACTTTGCCAAGTCCTTTAATTGCGCTTAATACAAGTAAAACGCAATTTCCTGATGCGGATAACATTTGGAGGTGCTGCAAAATAAGAACCGAAGATGATGACGAGGGCTAGAACTCAAGAGCAACTGTGCTGCTTCTGCAATATCCCTCAGAGGCCGCGCATTCCCACAAAACATGAAATAAAAACGGCCCAAGCATCACACTCGTTAGTTTAAAGCATTTCTATGCTGTGGAGCCGGATTCGCTTCTGATCGCAGAAATTTACGCGCGATTTTGATTAATTTGCATTTCCCTAATTTTTCATTCTGTTTTTTTTTATTAGGGTGTCCACAAAGTTCGTTGGCCATTCGTTTTTTCAGAGCTTGTAAAGATAACTCACAAGTTGAACTTACCGGTCCATGATATAATCTCCATGCATACCTACCACCTTTCGCCAACGATCGGGTAGGGAGGCAACTCCATCCTCCCAAAAGCCGGCCGGCCGCGACTCGACCCATTCCTCGACCACGTCCTCGAGGTCGCGCTCGTTCTTCAGCTGTTTTCCGTCCAAGAAATTGCAGGGACGGTAAGCATGCTGGGATCGCATGGACTGATGTCCGGGCTATACGGTGGATGCATGACCGTCTTGATGCCCAGCCTGTCCAGGACGGCCTGAGTATCTCTCGCTTTGTGGGGGCGCGCGTTGTCCCAGAGCAACCACGGATTTGCAAGTTTCTGGGACAAGGCGGCAGCTTTCACCTTGACCTCCTGCAATTCTTTAGAGAGGGTCTCTGCCGTCACTGTGGCATTGTTGGGTAGGATGCTGTAGTGGACGACGCCGTGAGAGAACCAGAAACCTCGGCATATCTTCGATGCCATAGTTTCCATTGGTGAAGCGAGTCCACCATTTTGACATCCAGTTCTTAGAAGGGGTGTTATCACCAAACTGCTGGTCGTGGCCTGACGTCTGGAGATGCCCAGGTTGTAGTAGTCCAGCAAACATCGGCGGTGACTATCACTCATCTTCACTGCTTTATTGTGGGAAGAGGCGAAGGAAATTTAGAGCTAAGCTAGCTCAGAGAGTAGCATCGCGAGTACTTTCAGTATTGCGAAATCATTATGCAAAATCACAGCGCGTTGCGCTAACGCGACGCTGTTTACAAATGGCCAACGAACTTTGTGGACACCCTAATACATCATACATTCGTTGTGTTCTTCATTTCTAACCTTTGTCATCTTCATCACTTTGTAATCGGATTTTGAAGCATGACCAACACCTCAAATGTCATTCGCATCAGGAAATTGCGCTTTGCACGTATTAAACTAACGTGTGGGCCGTTTTTATTTTCATGTTTTGTGGGAATGCGTGGCCTCTGACGGATGTTGCAGAAGCAGCACAATTGCTCATGAGTTGTGGCCCTCGTCGTCATCTTCGGCTCTTATTTTGCAGCACCTCAAATATTATCCGCATCAGGAAATTGCGTTTTACTTGTATTCCAAAGCGCATTTACAGGACTTGGCAAAGTGCCAAGGAGCGCGACACGAGCGCTTACGACGGATGTTAGCATATACGGGAGTCTGCGCCGCAAAAGGTATTGGGCGGAGCGTGGGGGTTAGCGTGTTTCACGGTCCTGTATCTCTATTCCTGCGCATGTTAGAACGGGGAACCGCCACGCTTCGGCAGCTGAGGGACTGATAGTCACGCACACCCAAACTATGTGTGATCGTACCATGTGTCTTTAAGTGGTGACTCGGGGAGGCGCGGGTGGCACGCTCGGACACCGTGACTCGGGAGAGGGCCTGCACCGTGTGTGAAAACAGTTTATTAGGTGCTTCCGGACAGGTCTATGCCCAATGTATCAAGCTTCAGATGGTGGAAGTGCGGTTAACCTGAACGGCAGAGCCGATCTCGGGCGTTATGAATTATATAGGGATCATTCTTTGCTACACCATCGCACCCGATGTCCGTGTTGTAGAGTCATAAGTAAAACATTCCCAAGCTTTCGGGACGCGAGGATGGTATGGGATGTGGTAGTTCCAGTGGCTTTTTTCTTCCCTTCCGCTTCCAGCGTACAACTTCTGCGTGGCGCAGAGATGATGAGGTAGTGTCCAGAGAGGGGGGTGGGGGCGGGTGACGCAGGCGCTGCCCGTTTTTTTGCAGGCTTACTTTGGCAGGGCTACAAGTTATGGCGTAATATTGTCGCATAAGCGGTTGTTCCACCAGACCGGCTGTCAACTACTGGAGGGGAGCGGGCTGGCAGCACGTCAAACCCAGCTTCACCGTCAATCATCGGTGTCAGCGAATAAGACTTTATGCTCGGCAAACTGAACGTTGCCTCGGCCTCTAAAGCGTGAAGCCCAAGAATGACAGCGTAACTGCTTAGGTATGCACTACACCACCCACCCCCTCTCTGCCCTATTGGAAACCTTTTAACTTCATATAATAGCTGCGGTTTTAAGACTTGCAATGTCATTCATCTTTTCACTTTATCTTACAAGAAAACATAATTGCGATGCAAGTTTGCAGTGGCTTCGGAATTTGGATCACAAATGGAAATGTGGACATCTTGGTGGTTAAACGAGGGTTTTCGCCAGTTCTCATGGACACATTGCTGTGGATGGCATTACTCATGGTGTCATGAACGCGGTAAGTGTGGGTCCAGCTGAATAGCGCTTCTATCATAATGCCCTCTTTACAGAAAGATTTCTTCGTCGTCGACACCATGGAATCAGCCTTTGAGGCGGATTCATTAGCTTCAAGTATTCCGCTGATCCCTACAATAGATCGAATGGAAGAAATCTCAGAAGCGTTCAATACTATAACGTATAAGAAAGGAGCTTCTTTACTGGCAATGTTGATGGCAGTAATGGGAGAGGATAACTTCTACAAGGGAGTGAAGGTAAATAATAAGCTGAGCACTCTAAAGCAGCCACCCTCTCTATGGCAATGGACCTTGTCCATAGTAACCTCGGAACCGCGAATTACGTGCTGGGAACGGTGTCAACATATATCGTGGACCCGATGTGGGTCCTATGCAACATGCGGATTGGAGAGGGGAGGGATCGCACGTGCAGGTGTCAATAATGAACAGAGCCATGACAGCCTAAGGCTGCGTTCATACTTTGCGGCAGCGTCCACTAGCGTCTACCAGCGTTCACCAGTGATCACTAGCGTTGCAGGCGTCTAGTGCTCGCTGGTGGACCCGAATACGCAAGTGTAGATATCGATCTAGCGTCTGCCAGCGTTTCGAGGGCTAGGGGGTGTAGGTATCGATTTAGCGTCTGCCAGCGTCTACCAGCGTCCACCAGCGCCGGGAGTAAAGAGAATGGGGAAGTAGGAAGGTAGAAATTAGCTGGATCAGGCGTCGTTGCGGTGCGTGCAACCGCACACCGCACCGTACTGCTACACCGTACATTAAATTGCATAATTCTGTGCTTTAGCAGTTGTGCGGTGCAGGCACACGCCGCGAATTTCACGACGCCTAATCCAGCTGTTTGCTACCCTCCTGATTCCACACTCTCCCTACTCCTGGACGCTGATCGATGCTGATGGACGCTGCCGCAAAGCATGTACACAGTCTAAGTGGAATAATGTCCTTACCATGGAGTGCCATACTATCTTTCCAAAACTCCCTGAGGTGTTCCTAACGCTTTGCCGTCCAGTGGGTGGGGGAGAGACAAACGCCATCAATTAAAAGAACCTTTTGCTGCTGCGCCGTCTGAGGGGACTAAAGGGTAAAATTCTTTTCTGTTCTTTTTTGATTCCCTATCTATTTTAATTTTGAATTTTTATGGTGTCAGTTTCAGAACTATCTCCGAAAGTTTGCGTATTCCAACGTGGATACTGAAGATCTGTGGGAAGAATTGGATTCTGTCGGGTCGCGAATCAAAGGACCCAAAGGGGGGCGTCTGAATACAAAACTATTTGCAGACCAGTGGGCAAGACAGGTAATATTATTCTAGTTGAGCAAAAAAAAATCATAATTTTGAGGGTTTCGCAGCCCGTCAAAGTCACACAAAGATTTTTAGGTGCTGTTTGGCCTAGGGGGGACGCACTCTGCACATTTCTTTCGTTAAATTACCTGCTTTACTCTCATATGACCTGTAGACTGTAGTCAAGTGTAAGGCTGCGTTCATACCTTGCAGCACCGTCCGCCAGCGATCGTCAGCTTTTCGAGCGTCCGTCAGCGTCTAAGAAAGTATAGATATCTTTCTCGCGAATGACAGCGTCTACCACCGTCCACTAGCGACCATCAGCATCTCGAGGGAATAGGAAAGTATGGACATCGATCGAGCGTCTACCAGCGTCCACTAGCGAACAGGAGTGCAGTATTGAGTAGTACCACTGTCACGCCGCCTAATCCAGCCGCCTCTTGCCTCCTACTTCCTCATACTCTACCAGCAGTCTGCCACTCTGCTACTTTCCCATGCCATTACTCCTGGTCGTTGGTGGACGCTGACAGACGCCGCATCTATATCCACACTTTCCCAGTCGCTGACGGACTCTTGAAAGCCGCGAAGTATGAACGTAGCACCAAAGACATTCGTGCTGTTATATACCTTTACAGAGGTTTACTGTTCCTCACAGGGGCATCACCGGTGGGAGCAAGCGAGGGGTTCCCTCGAGCCGTTTTTTGTTTTCTCGACCCCAATGTCCAGGAACTGCAATCCCGATGATTCTTTAGGTTTATGTTGCTCTGCAGTAACCTTTTTTTTTCCAATTCACTGTCCCACTTTCATTTTAGATGGGCTACCCGTTAGTAACGGTGGAAACTGTCAATTCCACCACCTTTGTAATTTTTCAAGAGCGTTATAAACAGAATCCAAAAGCGCACGAGTTGGAAAAATATCGATCCCCGCCTTATAAGTGAGTGGCCTTCATGAGCATTCGGTTCAGAACTTTTTAGTTAAATTAAGTGCTTTTAGGTGGCAATGGGATCTTCCCATATGGTACCACATCAACAATGAGCCAGTGAAGCTGAAGTGGCTGACTAGAAGTGAGGCCTTTTATCGCATTCCCCAGCTCTTTTCAACTACTTAAAAGTCCCAGCCGAGGCGCAGTTAGGGCAGTTGTATACGGTGCATTGTGCTGTATATCGTATATAACTGCAATTTGTCAGATCGTCACAATGCTCTCGTCACTCGTTCTGAAGCCGCGAAAAAAAGAACAACTTCTGCGGATACCCACCGGACTACAAGGGCAAGAAGGGAGGCCTATGGCTGCTACCATAGTTTGTGGCAGCGCCCACCACCAACCACTAGCATTCCAAGCGTCCGGCAGCGTCAGCGACTAGAAAAGAGAAGATATTTATTTAGCGTCTACCAGCGTCCACCAGCGTTCACCAGCGATGGGAGTAGAGAGTATGGGGAAGTAGGAGGGTAGCAAACAGCTGGATTAGGCGTCGTGAAATTGCGGCATGTGCAACCGCACCGCACAACTGCTGAACCACAGAATAATGCAAGTAGCTGTTCAGTGCGGTTATACCGCCGCAATTTCACATAGGCTAATCAAGAATTTGCTATCCTCCTACTACCCATACTCTATGGACCCCTGGTTGACGCTGGCAGACGCTAGGTGATTCCTAGCGTCTGCCAGCGTCAACCAGGGGTCCATAGAGTAGCGTCCTATACTTCCCTAGTAGCTGACGCTGCCGAAACGGAACGCTATTGGTTGCTGGTGCACGCTGGTGGACGCTGTCGCATGTAAGAAGGCAGCGTAAGAATGGGTTGAGCGCAAGGTTTTTAATTCCCATTTTCTAAACCGACCACTTTCAAGAAGTAGATAAACCGTGTCAGTATGACCTATAGATTTTGTTCAGGATCTCATTTTCTCATTTCTGCTGACACTGCACTAACGCCAATTGTGCTAAACGCTGGTCGCCGTTGTTTTTATAGACAGAATTATGACGAAGACGGCTGGAGGAAGATCATCAGACAACTCAAGAACAACCACAAGGTAAGAAAAAGAAGCTAGCATAGTCGACAGTTGGGACAGGCGGAAGCGTCGGGATGGACGACCAGAGTCGCAGAGATCATCTCAGAGGGGAGACATAGCCATCATTAGGCTCAAGCCTCGATAAGAAGAAGGGATACTACAACGAGTGGTTCCTTCCCCCAGTATTTTATTTTGCTCAGTCCAGGATCCCTTAGGGCGGGGGAGGGGGTAAGATTCTTCACCCAATACGCAGCAAAGGACTGGCAATACAAAGGACGGAATCACTTTCTCAGCAGCCTTCACTGAGGCAGGACCTTTCACATTTGGCCGCTCCCCCTCAATTCGCCCGATTAAGCCTTTCCTGACCTGCACGAATATTTTCTTTTTGGGAATCAGAGCTATCTTCGCGTGAACTGTTTGATCTGCCACCGGTTCTGGGGTGCAGAGGCAGGAAGAGGTGGAGTGGCGCCATTTTCAAGCCAAACACTCGGGATAAAGCAAAAGTCTTTGCCATTGATGAATTCTGTTTGCCATTCTGCACCCATACCACTTCCATTTAGTCTCGCAGTATTATTGAATACAATGTGTCCTACAAATGACTTACGGGGGCCAACTGA